GAAGTGCAAAATGTCTAGTTGTTTTACTAGAATAATCTAGGACCCAGTTACAGTAAGGATGCGCTTCCATAAAACTTACCAATAGAAATATCATTACAGAACCTCTCTCTAGGATTAACTTGTCACATATCAATAATGAGGCTATAGAAACTTCTAGGATGGGGTACACTACATCATTTCTAAGGATCAAGATTCATTTGGTTCTAGAAGAACAGTTTGGCTAGAATACTGACTTAACTCATGCTGAACAAAATATGCCTAGGCCATGGAAGCAGATCCAAAGTAGTGACAGTGTGGGTCATATTCAGAAATGAGTTCTTCAATCTCCCTTGAGGTACCAGCACAAAACCCTCTGAAGCTTCCATGACTTTTACTTTAAAAAGTTATTTGCTTTGACCAAGTTTTTTTGTTTAAAGTTTTATCTGTTCTGGTCAAGATTAGCTGCAGTGCAGGGTTAAAACCAGCTAGTCTGGAGTCATGGATCCTTTTTCTAATGAGGGGTGGACCCACAGGAAATGGGTGGCAAGCTTTTTCAAAGGTCCATGTGGTAAGATTCTGGGGAGCCCACTCAAGTAGGAAAGACCAAGTAAGAACAATGTTTCTATTAGAAGAATTATTGGGATAACACTCAGGGCAGTAATTAGCTCTGTTAATACGATCTAAGAAGATATGGTAATATTCATTTTCAATAAGTTTGGTATGGTACAACCAATGGCCTAGTTCTAAACTAGGGAACCACTGTTGTCCACAGTCAGGACAATGTGCATTATCTGAGAACATCTGGGCCTAGAAAGGTAACACACAGGAAGCAATGTAACAGTAAGAGGCAACAGTGGCAAAAAGGGGCACCCAAATAACTAGTCCTGTTACAGGTTGTGTTTAGTAATTTCTTAGTCCAACCCACATTAATTTAGGAGAGCGTTAAATTTGGCTTACACCTTCATGCAATTCTTCAAGATTTTGTTGTCTACTTTTCACTCAATTGCAACTCAGTCTCTGAATTCAGGGACCCGATGCAGTCTAGAATGTTATCACTCACTTACTAGCAACACAGGTATCAAGAGTATCTCCTTCAAATCCCAGCTTCTCAAGAAAAGACAGGGCTCTAAATACAAATTAGTTTTCTTTGCATGTTATCAATTGGTGGTGGTGTCACACAGAGGCACTTGGATTACTCTGCTTTGCTGTTAAGGCTAATGTATCTACTTGGTGAAATAAAGGAAATGACTGAATGCAAAAATTCATTTGATTTTACTATTTTTATCCTATCTAACATTTACAATTCATTTTCCCTTATTGCTTAATTTTTTAAAATTGTTATTACTATATGTAAGTTCTTATTATATTTTTAAACCAAACCCATTGCCAATGAATAAATTCTGACTCAGAGTGACCCTATAGGACACAGTTAAACTTCCCCAAAGGGTTTTCAAATCTGTAATTTTTATGGAAGCAGACTGTCCCATCTTTCTCCTGGAAGTTGCTGATTGATTCAAACTTCCCACCTTTCACTTATCAGCCAATTACTGAACCATTGTGCCAACAGGGTTCTTTTAGATCTTACTGCTTTATTAAGTTGAAATTTCTTGTATGTAGTTATCTTCTTTTTCTACAAATTATTATACTTCCTCCATTAAGAGGCTCACTTTGACTTATAGTCAGACTCCTCCTGATAAAGCATGACATTTTTACAATACATGCTCCCTCCTTCCTCCTGTCTCAAGTTTTGCTGAGAAAATTTAGTACTTTTAGCTCCAGTTTTCCTTGCAGTAGGCATCTTCGATTTCAGTCTTATTTATTCTGTTCACATCCACAGACACTCATCATTTTCTGTTGGAATTAACTATATAGATTGCAAGATTTATTGCTCACCACAGTTTCCTTTCTACTTCATCTTCTGATATCTTTAGGTCCCTGTTCTGATTCATTTGTTTTGCAGAGTCCTTTCCCTAATATTTTACATAGAGGTCATGCTTGGTGATGTATTCTCGGAATCCTTGCATACCTTCAAATATCTTTCTTTTACCATGACAGGTAAATTAGACCTCTGAAGGTTTTAAGATTCTTACATCGCAATTCTTTTCATTTAGTGGTCTATATTCCACCACCTTGTAGCCTGATAAAGTCCACAACCAGAAATGTATTTCATAGAAATAAAAGCACCAATAGATGAACATACATGCATGAATATGTTACCTGTGGAATTGTTTACAAGAGTGGGGAGGAAACTGGGAGTAATATGAATACTTAACCATCTAGGATTTGGTGGGTAAATTATGGTGTATATAAACAATGACATATTATACACAATTCTATTATGCACAATTTTAAAATAATGAAATAAATTTCCACTGGTGCACTTGGAAGGATTTCAGTTATGCCTGAAAATTGTTTAAAAAAGAGGAACTTGTATAACTTCATTATTGTAAAGCAGTGACAAATGTGTCTTGTGTATTCTCTGTGTTTTATGACTAAATGGTTATTAAATAAGCATAGAAAGAATTAAGGAAAATTCAGTAGGCTACTAATATGTGTTAGCTGGGGTATGAGAGGGGGATTTGGAGCAAAGAAGGAAAGATTTATTATATGAAAATGAATAAATAATACAAATGTGTGATGATGAAACCAGTATATACAATATCATTATGTGTGGATATTTTCATGTTTGTACTTCACTGTGAGGCTATATGCACATTTACATATGAATATGAAAGGAGAGGCCAAAATGGTTATGGTGATCTCCATGGGGATTGGAAGGAATGTTTATGGTGATCTTCATGGATATTGGAAGGAATGTTTATGGTGGTCTCCAGGGGAATTGGAATTTCGGGTGACTTTTACCCTTTTCCTTTTATTAGCACAGTCTCTTTAACATATAAAATGAATATTGTGTATGTAATTCAATATGGACAATAAGACATTTTACTCTTGCTAAAGGAAAGAAAATCATCAAATTAAATTATGAAAGTATTATGTATATTTTGTTGTAGTTAGATGTCCTCGAGTCAGTTCTGACTCAAGTGACACTGTATAGGGATTCTAAGGAGTGGCAGATGAACTTGAACCACCAACCTTGCTGTACAAAACAATTTTGCAGTCCAGAGCTTCAACCCACAGTGCCACACCCAGGAATATATGATATCCCATGTGAATAAAGTTTTACTAAAGGTAATACAGAAATAGCTGCAAGCATATATTGACAGAGAACTTCCAGGAATTTAAGCTGATTCAGAAGAGGCTGTGGAATGGATATCATTGCTGTTGTCCAATGGATTTTGGCTGAAAGCAGAGAATACCAGAAAGATGTTTACCTGTG